GAGGTAGCCTCATTCTGACAGGTATTCCACTGGAAATGTGTAGTATCAGTTCTTCCTTTGGACTAAATGATATTAAAGGTTTATTTTGGTAAATAGTTTTTGCGTTTTCAATTCTCCTTCTAATGTGACATCATACAGCAGCACCAGCAAACTGTTCTATGATGGCAGAATGACAACACTGCCCTCTGGCTTTGCATACTAAGTTGCAGTATTTTTTTTTAAGTTTAAGTGTTAACAGTCAACCTTTGATCATAGGGCTTATACACAGAAAAAAGAAAAGGAAGGTTGTTTAGATCTTATTTTGTCAACATTGGAAGAATGAAGTCTTAAGGAATCTTGGAAAGAAATCATATAAATGTATTACTCATAATAAATCCTATGGTCAACTTTTGGCAAAAATCTAGCTGTTATCTTTTAAAGTAGTTTTACCCATCACTCCAAATAATTTTTGAGTGACTGATTTTCCTGAGTCATGCAATTTCCTATGAATTTTGCTCTTGGAATGCCCTTATTTTACAGATGGGTAATTCAACCTTAAAATTGTTCTATATTATAATTTTTAATTTTCCTATCCAAGATATAAGTACCGTAACTTTCTACAATTAGGGTAGGGACTATATAAAACATTTAACTGGTTATAGTAATTCTTGGCAGGGAGAAAATGAGCCAACTTAATTATCTGTTCTAACAGGATATTGCATTGATAAATCCACAAATGATCCTTAAATCCATTCTAATTAATAACAGCAACCCCTTGACATTTTTCTTTTGGCAGAACTGATCAATAGGACATATTTAGGTGTTAGAAATTCCAGATTTTTTCCCTTCCCTTGGCAGAGTGGATCTCAAAAGTATGGTCCAAGGACCCATATGATTCCAGGGGATCCCTGAGAGACCCTTTCAGGAGAATGGTCAAAATTTTTCATAAGACTTTATTTGCCTATTAAAGTGCTCCTTTTCCCAACTATGTATCAGCTTGAGGTTAGATTTTCTTCATATACTTTAACCAAAACAACATTATAACAGATTGGAGCAGCAGATAAGAGAATTCAACTGCTTCCTATTAAGCCACGCATTGAGATTTACAAAAATATGCAAAGGAATGCCATTTTCTAATTTTATGAGTTATTTTTCATAAAATGTTATAACATGCAGTGGTTTATTTAAAATTACTATTTTAAAATTGTTTGTTTTTAATAAACATTGATATCACCCCCACATAAAAGCTTTTTGGGGTCCTCAACAATTTTTAGGAGTGTAAAGGGGTCCTGAAACCAAGATGCTTGAGAATTACTGCATATTAGAAAAGGACCATTTAACTTTTTGGTGACTACCAAACAAGGCAAGGAATATTTAGGTTTGGCTAAGCTGTACCCTACTCAATGGTACTAAATCACTGTCACCTCTTGGTGTAATTCTGAGCTCCACTTCTGAACCAGGCCAGGGCAATTCTGGGTGGGGCTGTGATTCAAAGAGATTTTCCAATGGCTAGCTTGCATCTTGCCCATTTTACCAATTCTTTTGAGTGCTAGTTTCATTTGATTATGGTAAAGGATGCTGGTGGTTCTTAAAGGGGAGGAATCATGGTAACAGTATCATATCCAAAATATAGAGGGACCTGAACTGACCATGAGCCATTCCCCTAGAAGTGTTAAAAGAATATGAAAAGAAAATTGTCAATTATAAATGACCACATGAAAACATGCTTGAAACAAATAGTTGAGAAATGGGAATTTAAATGTCTGAGATTTCACCTCATATAATGCTAACTGGAAAAATGATAAAAGTTGAGAACCAGTGGAGAGAATGACAGGTACACTGATACACTGCTGATGGAATATTGTGATAGGAGAGTACAGTATTAGTTCAACTATTCGGGATTCCAGTTTGGAATTATGCAAGAAAAGTGACTAACCTGTCCAAATCCTTTGACACAGTTACTGGGAGTATACCCATGGAAGTCAGACAGAAAAAAAAAAAAAAAAGATGCAACATACAGGATGTCCCTAAAGTCAGAGCAGTTTTAAACTCCACTAAGACTTTGGGACACATCGTACCAAAATAAACATAGCACTTTTGGTGGTAGCAAAGGAGGTGCCCCTTAGTTGGTGAATGACTGAAAAAACTATGGAATACAAAGGTAATAGAATCATGTAGTTTAAAAAACAAGGCAAATATAAGGATGTTCGAGAAAAGTGAGAAGATTTATATGAACTGATAGCATGAAGTAAGCAAAACTAAAAACATTTCCTGCAAATGGAAAGATTTCTAAGAGGAAGTTAACTCTAAGTAAATGGGGGAAAAAAAAGGAAAACAATGAAACATCCTTCCACTATCATAGCAGAAAAAGAGATGACTAGAACTGAATATTATACACATTGCCAGATTGTCATTTGGATCTGACACTTTTGTTTTTCCCTTTTACAAGATAGGGTTCAAAGGAGGGTGACCTTGGAAATGACTGAATTAGAGACAAAACAGTATCAAATCTTTTTTTTTTAAATATCATTGTAAATGAGTCTTTTCTGACCAGGTGTAGTCCTGGATATACCACTTACCATCCTAAGTTTCATTTGTCAAATGGTTACCTATGGCATATTTGTCAGACTCTAATGAAACAAATGTTTTCACCTTCTATGGTGTTTATAGTTTTCAAAGATTAGAATTTGAAAAGGGATCCTGGCATGCAGTAGAAAACCTTTACTCTCTGGGTTCCTTTTGGGCTTAGGGCTTTCATTTTCAGCTTTTTCAGCTTTTTATTTTCATTTCCCCAGAACAGAGGATTTTTCAAATATTCCTTGCCTGAAAGACTAGTTAAAAAAAAAAAAAAAGGCCCAAAAGGGGGAGGGGGGGGAAAGAAAACAAGGTATATCAAAAGGACTGGAAAACTCACAGATAGTTGACCACATTTAATCAGATTTGAGGTAAATCACAAGTCCCTTCATGAGGCCAGTGATCACTTACATCTACTAAGTACTAAATGTGGTGACACTGCTGGTTTTCCTCAAAATAGGACATGTAGAATAAGAGACCATCTGGCAGAGTAGATTGCTGATTTCAGGAGATCCTTGAACTTAGATGGACAAGATATATCTTCACTAAGCTCTAACTGAAATTTAGCATTTCCTTCAATTATGAACTTTAAAAAGCACATTGTTCTGAGGAGTCTATAGATTTCACCAGACTGCCAAATGGTCCATGATATAAAAAAGGTTAGAACCCTGGTCTAGATGGCAGCTGATTCAATCTTGGCCAGCTGTGTTGAATACTGGAGAGCTGGCCATTCCATTCTGTTCATGGTAGAAAAGAAAGAATGGTGGAAGTGAGGTGGGGGATCATTTTGACATATCATCATTAATTTTAGCTATGATAATTTGCTCTTGAATAGCATTTTTCCACCTAAGGATGGGTTTGTTTAATTATGGTAAATGTTGCAGCAAGAACCTTTGGTGGGCACCAACAGGAATAATCATAATTTTCTAGTAAATATTCTGAATGTCCACAAAACCATTAGAGTTGTTACAAGATTGTATGGTTAAGAATTTTAATATAACAAGTATGATCATTCCTTCTAGAGAGAAAGTACCAATAGCAACATTTGGTTTAAAAATAAGGGGAAAAGGAATAAATTCAGGAGGGAATTTTTCTCATCTAGTTCAATGTGTTGTGTTAAAAAGTTCTGGGTCTGCAGTAAGCATAAATTATGTTCTTTAAAGACAACACCAGAGCATTAGAGTGCTCCAAACACTTTCATCTAAGTAAAACTAATGAAGACAACACCACTTGTTCACTAGGACTTTTTCCATCCACAATAGGTCAGAGCAGGAAACAAAAATGACTTTGGAAGCCTGCTTTTAATACCCATCACTGAAAATACTGATCAACCCTGGAAGCTCATTTGAGAATTGGAAAAAAAGCAAGACGGTTTCATGTGGGGTGTGGGGAAAGTCATCAGTACTTATTAAAGCACAAAGTCTTCGAATAATTTTATAGGAGATTGGGGGGCTTGGGAGACAGGAGCAAGAGTAATCATAAGAAAAGCAAATATGCAACAAAGAACTACTAGGGGAAAAAATTTCAAACTTGCCACTGATCAATATTCTCTTTACACATAGCCAGAGTAATAGGACCTAGCCATAAGGTAAAGGGCACTATCCACAGGACTTAATAGCAATTACTGTTTAACACCAATGCTGGACTGAACTTCTGATGCTGCCATGACACTTTCTTGAAGCAGGCTACTGAACTGTTCTGAATGACTTTTGTATCATATCAAAAAGCCCCTAAAATAATGTAACATGGGTAAACATTAGACTCAGCAAAAAAAAAAAAAAAAGCAGTTTGGCCTCATCTTTAATATCTGTCACCTAGCCAAACTTAAGTTGGTAGCACAGACAGAAATAGAACATGGAGTTCTTAACCACCAGTCTCAAGCTCTGTCCATTTAAAAAAGTTTCATTCTAGTTTTCTTACTGAGATTCTAAACAGCTTACTGGTTGACCTTAGATGCAGTCAGGTGGGTTATGGTTTCCAAAAACAATCAATTAATGTTGGTACCCAGTATGTGTGCATATAGGAGTGAATTCCAATACAATGGTCATCCTTTGCCCAAATCATCAATTACTGACCACCTATACAGATGATATAGAAAGGAACTTCTTAGCTCTAAAATTCCCAATCCTACACGATTTTTTCCTAACACCTTTTTACTCTGGCATCTACAGACTGATATCCAAGGGAGAGCCAATTGAGAATTCAATTCAAGTGAACTGCTCTCTATTTAGTGGGGTGGCTGTTCCAAATCTGGATTAAAATACAAATCTTGTTATTCAGCTTTTGGAGTTCTAAGTATCCTTTGGAAACAATTTTGGAAGATAGAAAAATGGCTACGATTAGAGCACCACCACCAACCCTCTCAAAAAAAAAAAAAACCCAACCCAAAAACCCTTTTACTTTTTAAAAGGTACCATAGGAGCTATAAGCTTCACTTTTGAGCTCATTTAGGTTACTTGAGTATCAAAGCCACTGGAATGATTAATTTCCCTGGTAATGAGAATTGAACAGAGCACTACAGGCTTATCAGGCAGTTAACAATCTAACACTATTCACACACCAGTCACCCAGAAAATCTTTCCCACTTTCAGGTTCTAACTTGGCATCAAATTAACTGTAACTTTTCAAATAAATAACCTGTTATTTTAGAACATCAAATATTACTGATTTCTCTCTCTGTGCCAAGCTTTCAAGATAATCTTCTTTGCTTTTGCTAGTGATGCCGTTATCAAAGCTTTACTTTTTAGGCAGATGATGCAGTAGCAATACAATTAAATCGGGACGGGGAGAGAGAAGACTGAAAGTTGGGTTTATCATGCAGTTGCCACAGGGAAGAGCTCAAAATTCTATTCTCCCTTATGTGGCAGCAAAGGCTGGATCAAGATCACGCAAGCAAGAGATCACTCCAGTGACATATAGTGCCGGGTAAAAAGCTCCTAGTAACAATGAAACCGATGCCACAAAATACTTCCCAACCCACAACCCTACACCTTGTTTGGTAAAACGGATTTCTTTAATTTTAGAACTTTGCATAGACTGGATTGAAATAATTTTCTTCCCCCACCCCCACCCTCTACTCCTAAACCTTTCTCTAAGGGCTTTTGGGCCAAACGTTACGCTCAGATTTCAAAATGCAAACAGATGTCCCATTGCCCTAAGAAAACGGACAGCTACGCTTCATTTCCTAGACGTGCCGGAGCTGGGTATTTGGTTTTTGTCCCCAGTATTTAAAAGGGGCGCATGACCCCCTCCCCGACTTCACTTGTAGTTACATGCGTGGGTGTCAGTTTGGGAAAGGAGGGTATAAGGAAATCAAACTACAGAGTCCTCCCCTACCCCTTCACCTCCCCTCCCCAAGCTGGTTCTAGGCAGAAAGGAGGACGATGTTCTGAGAAAGCTGGCGCTGGCCGGGGATGGAGGTCCTGCCCCGAGCGCGGTTGGAGATCCCCCAAGCTTTGGGTTCCAGAAGGTTTCTAACCGCCCCACCCCTTGGCTGGCTCCAGGAGGGTTTCGTGGTAGGGAAGCAGCTGCACTGGGCTGGCGGGCGGGGCCGGGGCGAGGGGCTGCCCCCGGGGACCCTCCCCAGGCCGCTAGGCCTGTCCGTGAGACCCCAGGGAGCGCTGCGAGGGCTGGGGGCCTTATCGCGCTCCCCCCTGCCGCCCCGCTCCGGGTCGGGGTCCTCTCCGAGGCCCCTGGGTCAATCGGCGGAGGCGCAGGGAGACCCGCGGCTCCGTGAAGGGCGAGGCCGCAGGCCCGGCCCTGCCCGGGGGTCGGTCCTCCTCCACCACCCCCCTCTTTCTGCCTCCGGAGGCCGCTCCCTGCCATCCCCCGGAGCAGGCCCCGCTTGGCCAGGCTTCTCCCCGCGCCCGGCCCGTCCCCCCACGGGGGTCCTCTCACAGCGCAGCGACTCCCTCCGCTACCTCCTCCCAGCCCAAAATGGCGGCGGCCCTGGACTCTTCGTCGCCCGCCTTCCCGGCCTCCTCCCTTCCCTCCTTTCCCCTCCCCGCCCTCCTGGGCCGCGGATCCCTCCGCACGCGCATGCGCTCCAGACGCGTCCCGCCGGTCAGTTTTCTACTCTTCGTTCCCCTCCCCCACCCCACTTTCGGATCTATTTCCAATCCTGGAACGCTTTACTCCATCGATAGCCTATTGAACTGGGTCGGGGAAGTAGTGTCCCCGCCTTCGATTCGTCACCAGCGAATGGTGATAAGGATGGACATAGCGACAAGCGCTCTTGACCAATCAGAGACCCAGAGGCGGTGCGCCCGAACTGGGCCTGCTGGGTTTTGGCGTTCTTAAGGCGTGGCTGTGGAAGTGAACGGGATTCTGGTCCTCTTTTCCTGACTAGAGAAAATACAATCCCCAGCAGGCATCGCGGTTGACTGTCTTCCCACCCACGCCGCCCCACCCCCTCTGCTCCCCGATGTCCTCGTGCGCTTGCGACTTGCTGGAGCTGTTGCTGAAGTCGCTGCAAGGTACAGGGCTTAGGCAATAGGAATTGCAGACAAGGGGCTGCCGCGCAGGCACGCGGCCGTTGTCGTGCGTGGCAGCCCTTGGCAACAAATAGGTCAGTTTACGTTTCCAAAGCTCTCATCCCAAACCATCTCGTCATCGGGTAGAATTGAGCCTCACTACCCTTTCCAGGAAATTATGTGTTTTTGGGGAATGCAGCTACCAAATGCGCGGGGCTGTTAACCCCGTCATTTCGGACTCCAGTTTCCCCTCCCCCTTCTTTCCACTTCCGGTGCCATGGGCCAAGAGGGAGCAGGGCCTGGTCCTTACAGGCATGGACGCCTTACCCCTTGTCATGTTGGCTATGGGAGAGGCTCGGCCTCCCGGGGGATGTGACTTCAGCTCTCTCACCTCTCAGTCAGAAAGAACTGGTCTCGGTGGTCACGGAAGCCTCGTCAGAGGAAATGTCCCTTTAGCAAAGGCTTGTGTGTACAAGTCCTCACGCCACGGTCTCCCTCTGGCCTGTCTATTGCAGCCAGACTAGCCTTGGCTAGCAAACTCATTACATTCCTCTCATCTTGCTCTGACTGTCCTTAGATCCCTCCGTTTTAATACATTAGCCTCTCTCCACCTAGCTTTTCACATTCTAGAGTGGGGTGGTGGTCACAGGTGATGCCTGGCCTGCTTTGCCAATTCTACCCACTTCCCCCTCCACCTTTAAACATCGGGCATACGGAGAAGCGTCATATTAATTTAGGCGTGAAACTAAGGACTTGGTCATCGGCTCTCTTGCTTGTGGCAGATTTTACCCCCACCCCATCCAAGTCTCTAGTGTTCTGCAATCAGAGGGTTAGCAGTTCTTAATCCTGGTGTAGGTGGCACAGAGGTCGGGCAGATTTGTTTGGGAAATCGGCCGTAGGGGAGAAATGCTTCTGAGCCCTGTTTAAATTTGATGTCACTTAGCTTGGGGTGTGGGAGGGAGCTGGGCAATAGAATGACTTCCCCCAGGCCCTAGGACATCAGCCTCAGTTCTCTTTCTACTGTTGAGTTCTTTTCAGGTTTACCTGCCACAAAATGGCTTCTCTTCTCTTTGCTCAAGGAGTCCCAGGAGTAGACAGAGAAAAATCCCCCCTTGAGGTTAAGGATAAGGCTTTTGTTTTGTTCTCCTTTACAGCAAGGACCACCCTAGAGAAGCTTCTGCCCTCTGTTTTGAGAGAAAGGAGAGACATCCTCCCCATCACTACTCCCAAACCTCCTGAAAGTAGGAGCCTTCTTGAACCTGTGCTAACCTGGAGGAGACAAAGGTAAGTCTGCTTTCTTGGCAGGGAATGACCTAGACCTGTGTCCTGACCTTGAATGTCTGGAAGGGACAGACACATGGATAATGTGGAGAGCATGCCCAGGGCATAACTCTCAGGCCTGGTGATGTGGGGGAAAATATCAGACCAATCACCCCATTTTGTAGAAACTGGGGGCTAAATCCCATAGGAAAGGTGTCTCTGAAGTTTGTTTTGGATTTAAGAAGAGTTAAGTAGGGTCCTGGAGACCTAGGCTCAAGGCCAGACTGTACCACTTATTATCAGTGTGATCTTGGGTAAGCCACAGCCACTCTGAGCTTCAGTTTCCTCCTCTGGAAAATGAGGAATTTAGAGTCTGTGATTTCTTAAGGTCCCTTGTGTCTCTGATGTTCTACAATTCCCCTCTTCCTGGGCCCTGCTCACCCCCTTGTAGAATTCCCAGAGCTAAGTCATCTCCTGATAGGAAACCCCCCCTCCTCCCACCACATACACTTTCCCCTAACCAGCCCACGGTTCATATTTAATGTTGACTTTCTGGTGGAGGTGTTGAAAGAGGAAAAAAATGCCACAATTAGGCATTTTGAGGTGTAAAGCTAGCTTGGAGTGAAGAAACCAGTTTGCATAGGGATTCCTGTCTGGTGGGCTTGGAAAAACGTGCTGTCCTAATGTCCCCTACCTGACTTTGCTTTTCCCAAGTGGAGCAGTGCCATGTTGTTATTTGGAGGGAATGCCTTTGACAGAGACAGGGTCTGTCCCTCTGAGTTCTTTTCTTTTGTGCATTTGAATTGGTAATTAATATGTTGCAGAGAGTCCCATGACATCCCCACACCCCCACATCCCCTCACTCTGTCCTTCTGAAATAGCTCCCCTCCAGCATTCTTAAGGACAAACATAAACCCTTCACTGAGAGTGATACACCTCCAGCATATTCTCCATGTGTAGGCTTGCACACACAAAATAATATATATGTTGTATATACAAACATATTTAATGCATGCACACTGTGAATACCCTCATATGCACCTTATATGTTCACTACAATGCAGTTCACATCCCTGCACATCACTCTCATAAATGAGGGAGTGCCCCCTCATTTGACAGACTCATGCTCAGCTGAATAGATTACTTTCTAGTCTCTCAAACCCACAAAATACCCTTTCTCATTATTTGTTTTCTCTCTCTCCATCCAGACTGTCACCGCTACCCACTGAGAAGGGTTTTGCTGCAGAATCACCCTTCTTAAAGAAAATAAGAATCTGTCTTCAGCCAGCCCAACTTATCTTCTTTTTCTACCCCCAAATAGAATTTCATAAAAAGGATAGGACTGTCCAGTATTGATCACCTCTCCCTGCCTGCTGCCCGATTTCTTTTTTGTTCTCTTAACTTACTTCTTTTTGCAAATTTGTTTGCATGTTTATGTCCCTATTCCTTTTGCATAACATGTGCAAACTCTGGATACCCCCTTCCACTCTGCTGTCTCTTTTTATCCAAAGGCCACAGCCCAGTCAGTGTCTAATTGTCTAAGCTCTCACACTTCCCTTTCTTTTCTCTTTAATCTTAGAACTCTGGGATCTCTTCCAGCCCCAGTGTACCAACCGAGCCTTCTGATCCTGGTGGTTGTAGGCCCCTGACCCCTGGGATGAACAGCCCATTGGAGTGGAAGGAACCAGCAAGGACCAGCAATGGCAGCAGTGGACAGAATGGGATATCCCAGACTGAGAGCCCAGCTTGTGGTTCTGCCGAGGCACTAGGTCGGAGGAAACATAGGCGCCGGTCTTCAAAACGCAGAAGGCACCGTTGGAGGCCCTACCTGGAGCTGAGCTGGGCAGAGAAGCAGCAGCGAGATGACCAACAAAGCCAGCGAGCCTCCAGGGTTCGAGAGGAGATGTTTGCCAAGGGGCAGGCTGTGGCCCCCTACAATACCACTCAGTTCCTGATGGATGACCATGACCTGGAGGAACCAGACCTCGGTAATCCCCAGGGGGTACCCCACCAGGGTTCTGGATGGGAAGAGGAAGATGAGGAGGAAGGTGGGGGAACTGGGGACATTGATGATCGAGGGAAGGCCCAGGGTGAATTCCTCCAAAGAGATTTCTCAGAAGCCTATGAGCACTACTATGTGGAGAGCCTGCAGGGCCGAAGTAAGGAAGAACTGGTACGGGACTACTTAGAGCTGGAGAAACGGCTCTCATGGGCTGAGGAGGAGACCCGGCGACTGCAACAGCAGCGAAACCCCTCGGGTCCTCATCCCTGTTACCGGGCCCAGGAACTGGCAGCTGAAGTGGAGCGACTGAAAATGGAGAACCAGAGGCTTCGACGGGAGAACGAAATGTGGGGCCAAGAGGGCGATAGCCCGAGAGAGAATCTGGGCACCTGAGGGAGCCCTTTCCTAACCTCTCCCCAACCCCCCCCCCCAGGTAGCACACTAGAGGCTTTCTAGCAAATGTAGGAGGGTGGGGCAAGGAGAAGGCACGCTTTCTGTACTCATTTCACCTGCCCAACACTGCATCCAAGGAGAGTTGCACCATCTGTGTTCCTGAGAAGCCCTGCTGCCCTCAAACCCTGGGACTCAAGGCCTAGCTCTGGACAGAGACCACTGGGAACAAAGTTCCAGGTTTGAACCTCTCTTTCTTCCTCCAGCATGCTGCCCCAGAGTAGAAGTTCCATGAGGACAAGTTAAGTTTGTTTTCTTGTTGTCCCTTGTTTTATTTTTTTTTCTTTAGTAAAATTAAAATGTCTTGATGAGGGCAAAGAGGAATTAGGTAGGTATTGCACCATAGAGTCTGGAAGGACCCTCCAGATATCCTTGTGAGATGGAGAGACCTTTAGGGGAAGGTCATTGGGTTGGTGCCCTGCCTCCTCCATTGGAAGGAGCCGAGTGTGAAAGAATACCTAGACCCAACCTGTCACCCCTCCAGGTGGGATGAGGATTATTCAGCTGGGGCCCCACCTGAGTCTCCTAGGATATCTGACTTTCTCTGAGTTAATGGCTACTTGGGCTAAGAATTAAGGGACTTAGGACCATTATCATTCACATCCTAAAACAGAACAGTAACCTCTCTTAGGCAAAGGAGAGATACCCAGATAATGGCCTGCTCCATTCCATTTCCCCACCTCTGTTGTTCCTTCAAGAAAATGGAGCTGACAGCAGAACCCTGGTACTATGCAATAATAATGATGATGATGATAGTTAGCATTTATATAGCACTTACTACTGTCAGGCACTGTGCTAAGTGCTTACAAATGTTGCCTTATTTGATCATCACAATAACCCTAGGAGATAGGTGCTATTATAATCTCCATTTTACAGATAAGGAAACTGAGGCAAACAGCAGTTAAGTGACTCAGCCTGGGTCATGTAACTGGTAAGTGCCTTGAGTCAGGATTTGAATTCAGGTCTTCCTAACTCTAGGCCCAGCATTCTGTCCACTGTGCCACCTACCTGCCAGCTATGCAAAAATAGGATAAACTGGGTGTCCTGGGTATCCAATCTTGCCCTCACCGTGACCTTTCCTTGACCTCACCTTAGCATTTTGGGATTCTGTGTATGTTCTGTGTTCCTGCCTTCTGACATGCTTTTTAAATAGTAGGTCCCTAGGAAATGAGGGAAGCCATAGAAAAGGCAGTATATTCCACAGAAGTAGAGGAGGAGCTGATATCCATCCCCTAAGTCAATCAGCAAACATTTATGAAATGCCTACTATGTGCTAGGCACTGGGGATGCAGATGCAGTGAATGAAACATTCTCTTCCAGCAAAGATCCTGACATTTTAGTGGGGACAGTCCTTTGTCAGGTATGAGCTATAAGGGGCGTGTTCGGCTCAGAATGGGCAGAGTTGGGCCATGATCAGCCTGCCCACCTTGTCTGAAACAGTGTACATAATTTAAGCTGAAGGGGGTGGGATGTAATAGCCAGGTTGGGGCAGGGTCTCTTCCCTAGGTCCAACTCAGTTGATTGTTGGAGCTTAGGGCAGGGGAGCAGCAAAATCAAGGTCTACCTTTTACCTTTGAGATCTGGTAATGCACTCAAACCTTCAGCCCCTTCAGGCAGGGCTGTCCTTTCCAACTCATCCTGGGATTAGAGGGAAGGGAGGCAAGGGGACTTAAAGCTGGAAGGGGCCAGATCCAATGCTCTTATTTTATAGATGAGGAAACTGAAGCCCACCAAGGTTAAATGACTTAAGGCTAAATGACAAGGTCACACAGGAAGTAAGTGGCACCAAAATTTGAACCCTGGTACCCTGATGCTAAATCAAATGCTCTTTCCACTGTACCACTCTAGCCTTGATGTTCCTTCAAGGTTTATTGTAATGATCCTATGAGATACAGAATGAGGAATCAACCTATTCACGAACGAGCCCGGGGGTTCACATTAGCTCCCTGCTCTAGCCAAAGCAGGAGATTGACCAGACTTAGTTCAGCCCAAATTGTAAAATCCCCTGCTCCCATAAAGTCCCTGAAGAGGGGACTTCTCCTGAAGGTAATTAGGGAGACTGTGTATTGGGCGGGAGACAGCCCAGAAAAGGGAGATAGTTGGGATTGCTGACAAGTCAAAGGGTCAGCTGGTGCTGACTCCCCCAGGACTTAAGCACTGGTACTGCTAGCCCCCTCTAGCACCTGCCTGGGGCAGGGTTGGGTGAAGGGGAGTTTTCTGGGTGGTTCAGTGGTACAGTGACAGATTCTCTCACCAGGGCCCAGAGTATCAAAGGTTACCCCCGAAGGGTTTTCTAGACAAAGCAAAGCTATGCCCTTGGGAACAAATGCTTGAGGGATTTGTATTCTCAGGTGACAAGTTTCTGGCTTGTCTCTGCAGTCATACCTAAGCAGAGGACATTACAAAGGGTAGCTGAAGGAAGATATCCCTCGGGGTGGGGGATGGAGACATTACTCTGGGCATTGAAGAAGTCTGTTGGAGGTAGGGACTGAAAGAGAGAACAGTCTTTACCCTGAAGGAATTATGTTTGAAAGAATTGGCTAGAGTTAATCGAGGGGATTTAGGCTAGTGTTTGTGGGGTATTAGAGGAGGCCTGTAGATCTAGAAGTGGGGGAGGGACGTGGGGATGAATGGTTTATATAACTGTAGCAGTACCCCAGCCCATATCTGTGTAAGCTTGCTTGTGCCATAGGTGTTAAACTGTCCTCTTTAAATGGAAAGCTTCCATTAGAGCTGGGAGGAGGAAGGGTGAGTTATTTGGACCAGTCCTTAGCAAAGGGTAGCTGACAGCAGGGGAGATTACAGGGAGAGAAGGGACCAGCTTGTTGTTTCTCTGCCTCCCACCTCCAGGCCCACACAAACACCTTCTCTCTAGCTGCCTGAAACATCCCCACTGGGGAGATTGTTAAAGGCCCCACCCCCCATTTGCTTCAGTAGCAGAGGCCCCTGTCAGGCCCTTTTCAACCAAATTGTCTTACTTTGAGGAAGGAAGGAGGGAGGGAAAGCATTAGAGGAAGAACAGCTAAGGAAGATCTCTTCCTGACCTGAGGAAGGGTCTTATTCATTTAGATTCCCAAGCCTCCCCATGCCTGAGTACCACTTTGACACAGAGCAAGCTGTCTCTCCTTGTCCTCAGTTCCCCCAGGGTTGAAGGTAGAGCAGAAATTATATTGGACAGATTTGATCTCATGCCTTCCAGGACCCTGATTTTAGGGGCCTAGGCCACCTGAAGACAGAATGGGGGACTTCTCAAGGAAAGACTGAACAGGGGCACTGAAGGACCTTGTATAGATTATTATTATTAATTATTATGTTATTAACCTGGGGTCTACCAACTGTGGACAGATTTGGGGGTGGGTGGGTGCCTGTAAACTTAGATGGGATTACATTTTTATTTTCATTGACCTCTAACTAAAATGTAGCATTTCTTTCCATTATTTAAAAACATCATTCTTAGGAGAGGTCCATAGACTGCCAGAGGGGCAGCACAAGAAAAAAGATGAAGAAATCCTGTTGTAGACAGAGGTAGTGATGAATGGTAATACAGTGTTGAAAGATAGGTGAGGGAGGCTATAAGGGGAGAATTTTTTTTTTTTAACACTTTCTTTATTTTAGAGACATGAGACATGAGATTATCACTAGCAGAGATGAGTACTCTGAGAGAACATTTAACACCCACCACTGTGAAGATGACCTGATGGTGGCTCTTTTTTTTTTGGGAAATGTTTAGCTAGCTGCTCCACGGGTGGTGAAATGTAAATCGGCCCTCATAAAGGTGAAGAAAAGCTTTGTAAGCTGAAATAGGGGTTTAGATGGAACTCCTTATACAGTCTACCTGGTTAAGCATAGTTCAGATTAAGACTGCAACTTACTCTTATGCCAATTTGAGGTTTTGAAAAGTCTTCTGCATTAGGGTATCCAGTTCCATCCTCACAACAAGCCTTTGAGAGCTAAGTGACTTTGTCTGGGGTCATACTTTCAGCAGGTCTCTGCCATACAATTTGAACTTAGGTCTTCCTGACTCCTGAGAGCTGTGTTATCTTTTTATTCCAGCGGGGCACCTGAACCACCATCCTAGTTCTCAGCCCTCCTCACTACCACTGCCAGCCTCATTTCACCTCTCTTCCCCCAGTCCAGCACCCTAAAAACCAAGCATGTTATTCTGATGCCAGGGAATGCACTGAAGATCCTGCTCCCTGCACATCTGGTGATGGAGGCTCCCTCAGCAAAATGGGCTTACTGGGGATAGGCCAGGGGAATCCCACAGAGCTCTTGGCCTCATTTTTTCCACTCTCTGTCCCCATGCCCTTCACAGAGAGATACTTCTCTGTTATCCATGTGCCTGCCCTTCTCAGGCTTAAATTGGGAGGTGTGGGAACTCAAAGCAAGAGAACCTCCAGGATATTTAGACTGGGGGTGCCACCTCCCAATTCATTTCTGAGGTCTTAGACTTGTGCTACACTTGGATATGAAAATATCCAAGAGATTTTTATAGGATTGGTATCAGATCTCAAGGACTGAGGTCCAGGCCATTAAGATTCCTAAAGCCCCTAAACAAAGACCACTCTGCCCTAAAGGTTAAACAGACATGGGGTAGGGGGAAGGAAGAGACTAGGGCCTTGGGGGCTCCACATTGCCCAAATTGCTTAGGAAGAGAGTTGGAAGGGACCAAGGACAGTAATGGGGGAGGGCAAAAAAAATGTTGTCTTGTCATTCGTGGAGGAATATCAGAAGAGGGACTGTGGGTGGGCATGTGGAGGTGGGTGTGTGAATGCTTAGGCATGGGCACTCATGCACACACTTGTACATGCCAAGTATGGCCAGGGAGGGTACTGGCCCTTTAAGTGGGGGTGCTAGGTACAGTTCTGCCTTTTGCCACAAATCGGGGCATACTGAGCATGTGCAAGAGCCTAAGCCCTTGTTGGGAGGGAGGCGAATAGGTTCCACAGAACTTCCTACAGGCTGCCAGTCCTGACTTCCCCCACCCCCTAGGCTTCTACCTCCTATCTGGCTGAAAAGGCCGATGCCTTTATCTGATCCCAGGCCCCAGCCACTCCCACCGGTGAGCCACAGACCCTCTTGGACATTGGGGGCAATGAAACCTCTGATCCATTGAG